GGGGAACACTGTCATTCATGTCTGACTTCAGTCCTGGGACTTGGTGGGGGGGGATTTCAGTGAGGTTCTTTGGCCACCATGGACCCAGTCATGACCACTCACAGGATATGGTAAAGTCCTAGAGGCTGAGAAGATTGAAAACACCGTGATACAGATGTTACTGCTGGGAGCATCAAGTTTGACTAAGCATGGCAACTGATGACAAATATTTTGGCCTTTTCCAATTGGTCTTTTCCAGTAACAATTAAGTGGTACCCATAGTTCTTAATTGAGCTGCAGGTTATTCGCTGATAGAAGGATTTAATAAGATAAATGGGGGAAGGAGCAAAATTATAAGGTATTTGAGTCTTTAGGGGATGAGTGCAGATGCTGCTGGATGGGGAAAGGGAACAGAAGAGAGTTTGATGGAGCTGCTGTTCACCTACTTTATGGTAGTTCGTGCAAATTCTCTCATTTGTGAATGCACAGAGTTCCTCAAATGAGTATTTATTTATTTGAGACAGAGTCTTACTCTGTCCCCCTGGGTAGAATGCCATGTGGCACCATCATAACTCACAGTAAGCTCAAACTCGAGCTCAAGCAGTCCTTTTGCCTTAACCTCCCACATAGAGCCACCACGCTCAGCTAGGTTTTTTTTTCTTTCTATTTTTAGTAAAGATGGGGTCTCACTCTTGCTCAGACTGGCCTCAAACTCCTGCGCTCAAGCAATCTACCTCCCTTGGCTTGGCCTCCCATTTTGCTAGGATTACAGGCATGAAGCCTGTTTACTCTGTCACACACTGCCTTCCCTCTAATGAATATTTAATTTAGTCAAAAACTCCAGGTCCTGGGTATTCAAGGCTGAGTCAGATTTGTATGATTTTGGAGTATAGGGTATAATTGTTTAATTTTTTTGAGGTGCTTAGAATTGAGAGATGAAGTCATAAAAATCTGAAGATGTTTCATTTTTAGTGGGTTACATTGTGGCAGGAGAGACCACACTTGGTCACTAATAGGTTAGATTATGTTGCCAACTTAATTAGACAGGGATACAAAATATAATTGGTAGGTCGTTTACTAAACCATGCCTCAAAGGCATTGCTTGGTTACAGCCCTGACCATATTAAGGCCATAGCCAACAAGATGGTGGACACATTGGGCCCTTGAGACAATCGACAGGGCCCTACACTACTTTCCTGAGTGCCATTTTTAGCATCTGTGTCTGGGCACATCCCTCTGCTGCCCCACAATGGGATGCAGAAGGGCTGCCTGGGGGCCTTGGCATTCCAGATGAGTTCCCAGTGGCAGGCCTGGGAATTGCAGTAGCTATATCTGTACAGCAATGGTGCTGGCTTTTTGCCTAACCTTTCAGAGCAAAGGACATTTCAGCAAGACTCTCCTGGGAAGCAGATTAACTTCTGTGAGTCACTGCTTTTACATCTCATTTATGATTCATGACCCAGGCTATATTTTTAGCTTTTATTTATTTGGGTCTGAGAAGTGGGCTGAGTGGAAGTGTAGTTCAGAAACTTATGGAAGAATGAGGAGAAATTGGTGTCACACTTAAGTTTGGGTGGCCTGAAATTTGGTTATAATCCTCAGACATCAAATAAACATTTATTAACATCCTACTATACACCACATCCTGTGCTGGAGATAGATAAATAAGAACCAGCTTCTGCCTTCCGAGAGCTCATTGAATTGTGTGGGTGGACATGCATTGGATAATTAATGTAACGTAGCCCCTGTCGCTGAGCCCAGCCATCTCTCTACTCACATGGAAGTACTTGGCGTTTTCTGAACACTCCTGATTCTTGCCTTTACCTCTTGCAGATGCCTGTACATCCCTCCTCCAACCTCTCATTGCTTGCCTCTCATGACTCACCCTTACTTCCCCTCCTCCGATTCCATCACCCTGTGCGTCTGTGTTCACCACACTCCCATAAAGAGCAACCTTAATCGAGGTCCCTTCACAATAGTTGAGCTTATTTAATAGCCGCCCAAACTGAGGCAGGTGGAGCTGAAGGCAACCCAGACGAGCAGCATAGTCACCCCAGTGTAGCCCTGAGTTCCCTCCACGTGCCAGCCACTGTGCTGAGCACCACACACGCATCTCCTTATTGGACCCTCAAAGTGACCCTATTAAACAGATCAATTATTGTCCCTGTTTTATAGATGAGGACATGGAGGCTCTGGGAATTAATGTTATCTCCAAAGGTTTCACAGCTAACATGCAAAGCTGAGATTCAAACCCAAGCCTGTCTGACTATCAGAGCCTACCATATTTTTTCTGTGCTCTCACAGTTACTTTCCCCATCAGGACAGGACAGGTCATCCTGTGTTAATGAGTAATTCCAGCATCCTGGTGGCTTAGACAAAAAGAGTTTACTTGTTGCTCATGCCCTGGCCCATAGCACACTGGCTGAGGGAATTCTGCTCTCTGGCATTCTCACTCAGAGACCTGGGCTGAGGTTGGCTCCATCTCTGTGCTCCCCAATTATAAGAGAAAGGAGACATGACAAATTCACTCTCATGGTGATGTCACTGGCCCAATCAGGAGCCACACCCAACTTCAAAGGGGCAGGAGAAGTGCACTAAGTGCTGGGTGGGTGAAGAGCTGGAAATATTGGTGGAATGGTGCTAATGACTGCCCATCAAGGAATGGGAGAAGTAGGTCAATGAAAATAGAGGAATATAGTGTTCAGAGGGACGAGGGCCTTCCAGGGAATAAGAAAAAGCTTGCCCTTTTAACCATAGGTCTCTGGTTAAACTGCTGCTGGGATCAATTATTCAGTTGTTTTTCCTGTAAGTAGCACTGTTAAGGCTTCTTCTCTTCTGAATGTATTAATGCTTCAACACAACCTGGGACTTCACTGTGTCCATCAGGAGAAAGCAGTCAACTGCTGTTACCAAAGCAAAGCAGGGCTAGCTTTTGCAAACCAGTATTTCAGTTCTTTCATTGTGGGAAACCAGTCCTACCAGGTTAGAGACTTTTCCCTAAGAACCACAGAGAATAGCATTCTTGGTCTCCTAAGACGAGGCCTACATACTGATAAAAAATCTCTTAGGAGCTTGGGGTGCCAACATTTGCTGTTTCCCACAGAGAACTTGGGTTAAAACTATTGGTTGAAACTTCTGAATTTTAATAACAGCATTAAAATTGAATATATGATACAAGGCCCAAGGAGTTTCTACAAAGAGCACATTGAGGATATTTTTGGTCAAGGAGAATTCACCTTTGAACAATGCGATTCCTGTTTTCCAAGGTACAAAGAGTGATTGACATGTTGTAGAAGTGAGCACAGCACTCACTGTCTTAGGTGGTGGAGGCAGCAATCTTTCTTCAAGTCACAGTAAGTTATTAGAGAATATAAAAACATTTGCTACCAACAGAGGATGTCTGGCCTTACCACTCTTCTTTCTCTTCAGGATTGAGCTGTGTGTGTGTGTGTGTGTGTGTGTGTGTGTGTGTGTGCGCGCGCGCGCATTCAGATGGGTGGCTGGAGGAGAGACACAATGTAGTACATCTAATCCAGAAGTTTTCAGTTTCCTAAATTCATTTTCATTTCAAGGATCTCTCTAGACTATTACCCATTATGGTACTATAGGAAGGTAAGCATCACGGGGAGACTTTCCCTACCTGACCCAGGTTCCCTGGGAGAAGTGCAATCATCAGATGCCTCATGAATAGGAGAAAACACCCTTGACTCTGTGAAATTCCTGCCCAATTTCATTGTGTACTATCTTGTATTTTTTTTTTTAATAGATGCAGGGATTGGAGTCTTCTCTAGGTGGTAAATTTTCCTGGTCAGAGAGGTAACAGAAAACAGAGCAGCTTTAAACAACTAATTTGGTTGCTTCTCCATTAATCAGCCCTCTGGCTCTTGAACAGAGCACAGAGCCTCTCTGAGGATCAGTTTGTCCTTCTGTAAAAGGGGATCATCCACCTGTCAGATCCCCTCACAGTTTCATTGTGAGGATAAAATGAGATGACATTTGTGAAACTAGGCAGAGTATACAACATCTCTGTTCATGCAAAAGCACATGATCACACAAGATGACTTTTCTGTCTATGCCCAGTGCCAGAAAGGACCACTCTGGCTCCAAACACATGGATGCAGAGTCCTTCGTAGGAGAAGCCATAGGCCTCATGGTATTTGTCATGAGGATGACTTCACACTGGGTGACTTTGTCTGTGCCCAAGTCTGTAGACAGAGATAAAACCTCTCCCAATTCAAAACAATGCCCATGTGTAAGGGATTTTCAATGGGAGTAGGACTGTTGGAATGAGACACTACAGAGCTGCCTCACAGGGTGTGGATAGTTGTCATATTTTCCTTGCCCACAGATGACCAGTGGATATTTTCAGATGAATTGAAAGGTTTCTTTAGACATTTGTAAGCAGCCCATTTCCCAGTGTATCAGGGTGTCACCCAAGTGCCACCACACCAATATCTTCATTGTGTATCTGGCATTCAGGACACTCTATTTGCAGGATCCTGGATTGCCCACTGTCAAAGACAATGTTTTCTTTGGAATCAACTTAAAACTCATTTAATTCTAAAGTTCCCTGGGAGATTACACTAAAGATGTTATCAGCCTGGTTTAAGGGGATCAGGAATGGCATCTTAGTGGGTGGATATTGTGGGGACAGTCTTGGTGGGGTGGAGGAATGCACTTAGCAGGGAGACGGCATAGAAGGAGGGCGTTGCTCACTCCTCAGCCCTGCCTCTTGGCTTGGACAGGACCCCTGGGGAGAGAGATCTTCCTTTGGGAAGGATGAGCAGAACACACAACTTCCTTTTTGAAGAGTCCATCTTTGTAAGCACTAGGACTCACACAGTTGAAATTTCCTCGTTGTTAAGACCTCAGTTGTGACTGAATGAACAAATCCAGGTTTTCATGATTTTAAACCTGGAGCTGAGGAGGAGCTTTCAGTAGGGTCAATGTTTGGATTTTTTATTTTTTAGAACATCTTAAATTTTTAATCCTTTCTTTACAGATCACTTTCTTTACCTAGATCACTTCCGATTAAGAAAACTGTAGAAAGTTAGTAACTGCCACAAGCGAACACCAGGCGGTGGCACGTGTGTCAATTTTCCACAGAGTCCTGCTTTGCAGGGTGTCTGAATGCACTGCTCCGGGTCTCTGCTCACACTTGCTGGAATCAATCGTGGCAGATTATAGTCCACAGGTTGCTTTTCCACACATTTCTTTGTAAACTCTTCAGCATTCTTACAGAACTTTTTACAGTCCTCAGAGTGTTCTTCAGCTAGGTCAGCCCATAGTGGGTGCTCAGGCTGGGGGGTGTTCATCAGTGTTATGAGGGACTGGATTACTTGGTTGGTTTTGGTTGCTGGCTTCCAGTTTTCAGTACTAATTACTGGCAGACAGACCTGCCCGTTTTCACTGATGTTCGGGTGATAGATCTTTGTTATAAATGTGATCTTTGGTGGCTTGAATGGGTACTCTGCTGGGAAGTTGATTTCGATTCTGAAGGCCCCCTTATCATATGGAGGGTTGTCAGGAACAATAAGCCCTTGCCAAGTCAATAAATTAGCTTCATCATCCTGGATGTTGCGGAAGTTTTTCATTTGCAGATTTCTTCAGGCTCCTTCATCAGCCTCCTGCTGGCCTCCATCTTGGATCTCCAACGTTTGGCTGTTTAAAAATATGTTTAATTTAATCAACCAAAATGTATTCTGAGGGGCTGCAACGTGCCAGGAGGTATTCTGGGTGTCAGGGATACACATAGAATAGTCCCTGTTCTCTGCTGCTAGCCTTGTGGTAGGAGAAACAGCAAACAAAGAGAGGGTAGGTGTTGACAGCTTTGTGCTCTTGACTGGGAATTTCAAAGGTGCTATAAGATGACTTCCAAGAAAAGTCAGTGTTTGCCAAGACCAGCCGTGCCTCTTCCTTAATGGTGTGTTCCAGGAAGCCCCTCTCTCTGGCTGTCTCGACAACCTCCCTCTACACTTGTCCCCATTCCAGAAGAAAGTATTTCCCCACCCCCACCATCTGCCTATCCAGGTTTTCATTTGATTGGTATTGTATCAAAGGGGGAAGGATTTTCCATTCCCTTCTCACATGATTTGCTCTCCAACTCAAATCTTGTATAAGGAGGGCTTTGGCCAGCTTAACTTCAGGATTATTTTAACTGGTGATATATTTTAATGGTTCCTTTAAGAAGGAACACATTACAGATGGTCCAGTTAGGATGCAGGTTATTTTGAGACTTCCTGAACATCATTTCTTGGCTATTTCATTCAAATAAATCATTTATTGCACTGTAAGAGGTGCTAGAATAATGATGACTAAGACTCAGTCCTTGTCCTTGAGAAGCCCACAGTCCAGCAAGGGGCATAGACATTGACATAGATAAATTGCAGCACCGCTGGGTGAGTACAAGCTGGGGTGTGACCAAGAAGCTCTGGGAGCCCACAGGAAGTACAATGAACTCTGACTCAAGACTGGGGAAGATTTCAAACAGCAATAATTCCTGATGCTGCACTCATTTATTCATTACTTATCCACTCATACATGTTTCCTGAATAGTTTACATCCAGGGTCATACATTGCAGATCTTGCTTGTTTGACCACTTTTTGTTGTTATTATTCCTTGATGTTTGCTTTATTGAGCTGCTACTTACGTGCCATATAATTTACCCATTTAAAGTATATAATTCAGTCCTTTTAGTATATTCACAGAGTTGGGCAATCATCACCAATTTTAAAACATACTATTTATCAACCCCCAAATAAACCCTGTACCAACCCCTCCAGCCCTGCTTACTAGCTCTACAGATTTAAATGTTCTGGACATTTCATATAAATGCAATCATTCAACATGTATTCTGAGACTTCCTTCTTTCTTGTGCTTATTGGCCATTTGTATAACTCATTTTGCCCAATTTTAAATTGGCTTATTTGTCTTTTTGTTATTGGGTTATAAGGTAGCCTTCTGGATCTTTGAGTGTGGTCTTGTGAATGAATCCAAATTTTACTGAACAAATCCTTTTAATTAAGGGATTGTTCTATGAAGTTTGGGCTTGGTCAAGGGCTCACACCTTGGGATATGAAGGGCCACATGTGGCTGTGAGGCTGCAGGTTCCTCACCCTAATGCCTGTTTTTCTTTTTAAAAGAGTTTAAAAATTTTAAAATTTAAATTCTTGCATCCATTTTGAGTGAGTTTATTTTTGCATACAGCATAAGGTAGAGGTCCAAATTTATTCTTTTATATGAAGATATCAGTTGCCCCAAAACCATTTGTTGAAAAGATTATCATTACCCCATTGAATTGTTTTGGCACTCTTGTCAAAAATCAATTGACAGTAAATGTGAGGGTTTATTTTTGGTGTCTCAATTCTATTCCATAGTATGCCAGTATCATTATATGCCAGTATACCCTGTCTTGACTGCATGGCTGGACAGACCAGTTTTGAAACTGGGACATGATAGTTCTCTAAGTTTGTTATTTTTTCTAGATCATTTTGTCTATTCTGGGTCCCTTAAATATCCACATAAGTTTTAGGATCAGTTTGTCAATTTCTGCAAAGAAGTCATCTGGGTTTTTGATAGGAGTTGTGTTGAATCTGTACATCAATTTGGGGAGTATTACTGCCTGAACAGTGTTAAGTCCTTGGTTCCATGATCATGAATGCCTTTCTGTTTATTTAGCTCTTCTTGAATTTCTTTCAAAAATATTTTGGAGTTTTCAAAGTTTAAGTTTTGCATTTGTCAAATTATTTATAAATTATTTCATTCTTTTTGATTCTATTGTAAGTGAAATTATTTTCTTAATTTCATTTTAGATTGCTCATTGTGACTTTTGGGTTTAAAATTAAGGAAATTTACAACTATAGTCTGATTTCTGACTTCTTTTGAAAAATCCTAGGATCTGATTTCCCAAATGACAAAAGGGACCGGAGTAAGTAGTTTGGTTGTCCTTTGTGTGGCCATATGTCTCCAGATGTGCCCTAGACTGGCTACTTTCTTATATTTTGCTTATTTCACTCATTAATATCTTTATTATTAAGCCTTGATTTTGACCTTTATGATTATTCTTTTGGGAAATCTAATCTCTAGATGAGATTCAATGGGAAAGAGGGGTTAATATTACCAAACTTGCCTAGGTACAGTGGCTCACATCTGTAATCCTGACAGGGGAGGACTGCTTTAGATCTGGAGTTCAAGATCAGCCAGAGCAAGAATGAGACCCCATTTCTACTAAAAATAGAAAAAATTATCTAGGTGTGGTTGTGCACACCTATAGTCCCAGCTACTCGAGAGGCTGAGTCAGGGGGATGGCTTGAGCCCAGGAGTTGGAGGTCACAGGGAGTTATGAGGACATTACTGCATTATAGCCCAGGTGACAGAGTAAGCCTCTATCTCAAAAAATAATAAAATTACCTAAATCATGTCAAAATATGATTTTTAAAAAATACGCAGCTTCTATCCTTTCTCAAAAGTTACCATATCTTACTTACTTATCTCAAGAATACTGTTGAACCAGGCTTTGCACAGGGGATGCAAAGAAGAAACAGACCCCATTCCTGCGGTAAAAGAGATGCAGACGTATTGACCAAGAAGTGCCATGTGGGCAAATATAAAAGAGCAGCTGGAAGTTCATACCACGTGTAGAGTAGGGCACAGAGAAGGGAGTGGTCAAGACTGCAGGTAAGAAAGGGAAAGAGGAGGAGAGTTTTTATAGAAGTGACTTTACATTTCATTGTGAAGGATGAGTAGGCCTCAGACAGATGGACTTAGATAAAAAGGACATTTCAAAAGGAAAGAGCCGAAGAAGGGGTCGTTCTGAATCTTGAAACAACTTGATGAGTTCGGGCAAATGACAAGTGTGTAAGATGAGAGGGGAGAAAGTGTAAAGAGTTCACCAGGGCACTGATAATCAGAGGCCCTGTCCATCATGCTTAGAAGGCTGGATCTTTTCCTGAGGAACTTTTGATGTTTTCTCTAACGTGTGATTCTGTGACCAGCTGTTGCAGAATGACCCAACCGCCGGGTAAAACGCAGACTTGCTGGAGAAGAAGCTTTCAGAGCCCAGGAATGTGCTTCTAAAAATTTGCTTTTTAAGTTTCCCTGGTGATTCTGAAGTTCTCTAAAGTTTGAGAAGCTGTACTTTAAGGACAACCTGTAAGTGTTTTGCATGTGAATGTGGGGATTAGATGCTGGAGCAATCCACATGCCAGACAGGCACTTCACTGACACTGGGAAAGACAGATTTGAAGAGTGGGATACCAGGGACACCCATTTTTGTGGGAGTTATATTTTTAAGTCAGTGTTACAGTGAAACTCAGGTAAAATAAAAAATACACTGGCAAGCCTGGAACTCTCCAACACTGATGCATCTGCACCACCGAGGGTCAGAATTGGTCTTATGTTCCTGTTTGCATTTATAGGGAGATTCCCTTTCTGTGGGGAAGCTGAGGTCAAAGTCTAGTTTGGGAAGTAGGATGGAAAGACTGGAGGGATGAACAGCGGGCCTGAACTCTTGCTTTCCGCCTGCCAAAATGAATGCAGTTAAAGTCACATACACTGAACATGCATGTGATGTGAGACCACTGCATTGCAACTGAGAGGCAGTGTGTGCCTAAACTGGGACAGTAAATAGTGGCAGGATGGAGCACTGAGAGAAGAAACCAGGGAAGCTGTGAGAATGGTGTGGGGCTTGGCTTCCAGCTGGATGAGAGATCTGAAAGAAGGGAGGAATTGAGTTTTCTGGTTTATGTAACGTGGTAGATAGGGATGCTATTGGTTGACACCAGAAATGTAAATAAAGAAATACTTTGGATGTGTTAAATTTGAGAGGCAAGTAGAATATTTGTGTGCTTATGCTGATCTGGAGGTAGGAGACAGCTTGGGTTGGAAATGGGTGGACCGTCAGTACAGGCGGGCCTGAAGGCAGAGAAGTACATGTGCTAGAGGAGCAGAACCTGGGAATCAGACCATTTTTGAAGCTCCCCTAGTGATTCTAATGTGCAGTCAGGAGTGAGAGACAGTGAGAGAGGCAGAGAAGAAAAGAAGCCATGGTTTAAGAAAAGATGGGGAGAAAAATAAGGAGCCAGCAAAGGAGACTGAGAAGGAAAAGGCAGAAGAGAGAGGAGGGGAGAAAATCTTCCAAGGAAAGCCGAGGTAGGAGAGAGGTTCAGAGGCAAAGAAAGGGTTGGGTGGAGGCCAATCATGCAGATGTCCCAGACAGGTGATCAGGAGAATAAAAACCGGAGTGAACTACAAGGAAGCACTGGGTTTACTCAGTTTCAGTAGTGTCGAGTAAGCCGGAGCTTCAGATGGGGAGTGGAGGCAGGAGAGGAAGCAGTGACAATGTCTCAGGGTTAAGAAGGGAATGTCCGTCCTTCCTACCTTCTCTGTTGTTTGTTTGGTTTTGTAATAAGAAAAGACTAAACATTATTTAAAAGTGGCAGAAAGATCCCACAGTGTTGTCTGGTGGCCTCGACATTGTTGAATATTTTTTGCGTGAAGGTGAGACCCTCATAATCACAGCTGGCTATATACTGTTCTTCCGTGTTTAATAGTTCTTCCCTGTCTTTTCACTTTTTCTATCATAAACATATCAAGTGGAGGTTGTATGCCTTAAACTGATCTTGAATGGTAGTCTCCCCTAC